TCTCATAGAAGAGTCTAAAATGGCTGAGAGACACTTGAGAAACTGCTCAACATCCTTAGTCATCAGAGAAATGCAAATCAAAACAACTCTGAGATACCATCTTACTCCTGTCAGAATGGCTAAAATCAAAAGCACCAATGACAGTTTGTGCTGGAGAGGTTGTGGTGAAAGGGGAACACTCCTCCACTGCAGGTGGGAGTGCCAACTTGTTCAGCCACTTTGGAAATCAGTATGGAGATTCCTCAGAAAAATGGGAATAAACCTACCACAAGAACTAGCAACTCCACTCTTAGGCATATATCCAAAAGATGCCCATTCATACAACAAGGATGTCTGTTCCACTATGTTCTTAGCAGCATTATTTGTAATAGCCAGAACTTGGAAGCAACCTAGATGCCCCTCAACTGAAGAGTGGATAGAGAAAATGTGTTACATTTACACAATGGAGTACTATTCAGCAGAAAAAAACCACAATGGAATCCTGAAATTTGCAGGCAAATGGATGGCACTAGAAGAAACCATCCTGAGCGAGGTAACCCAGTCACAAAAAGAGAAACATGGCATGAACTCTGTCATATATGGATTTTAGACATAGATCTGGGGAGTGCCAGCCTACAATCCCATGGCCAGAGAGTCTGGGAAACAGAACCTTCATTCAGTGGCTGATGGAAGCAGAGGCAGACTCCCATGCCCAAGCACTGAGCTGAACTCAAGAAATCCAGTGACAGAGAGGGAGTATTGATGACCAAAGGCATTAAGACTGGGCTGGTTTAACCCCCAGAAACAGCTGACCTGACAAGAGTTAGCTCTTGAATCCCAGGCTGATGCCTGGGAATCCAGCATGGGACTCAGCAAGACCCCCTGAATGGGGGTGTCAGTGAGGAGGCCTAGATAATCTGTTGAGATCAGTATTTATCCCAGGTATACAAATGGACTTTGGACTCCCATCCAACAATGAGAAATGCACTCTCACCCTGAACTCTTGGGGAAGGGTCTAGGCCCTGCCCTGGATGAAATGACAGACTATGGACACCCCCATGGAGGGCCTCACCCTCCCTGGGGAAATGAGGGGATATTGGGAGGGGTTGGTGGGAGGGCACGGGAGGAGAGGAGGGAACGGATAGGAACTGAGAATCCATGGGACAGACGGAGGAACTGAGGTGCGCACTGAATACAAAGAGAATCTAGTCAGTGAAATTATGCTAGAAAAGTCTCCAGATCTCAAGAAACAGGCATCCAAACACATGGGGTACTTAGAAACTCAAGATAGACATGGACATAGAAAGTCTCCATGACATACTATAGTCAAATGTCAAAAACATACAGGAAAGAAACACTATAAAACCCGTGGAGGGAAAATGCCAGGCATACCCCACCTCTGTGTGTATGTGTGTGTAGGTCATGATGCTAGAAAGGTGATCGCGAGAGAGCAGGAAGATCTTGGGGAGAAGCTAAAATGGGAAGAAAAGGAATCCTGATGTGACAGTCACAGAGGGGACTATCTGAGGGAAAGCAGGAAACCAGAGGGGCTGGGGAGCATCAGGAGGCATGGGGGAGAGAGAAGAAGAAAGAAGGGAATAAACTAGGACAAAGCAGGATGACATCATCTTTGTATGCTAAGTCATGAAACGAAAATAACGGAGCAGAGACTGTAGATGAGAGGGACAGCACTTGCCTCACATGCGTTCAAGTCCTACTACTGCCAAATAATAATAGTATAAATATTAAAAAAGAAAACCACACCTTGCATAGACAAAAAGGAGTTGCTACAACATCATGTGTAACCTCTGGAACATTATGCTAAGCTAAATGAGCCTGTCATGAAATGCCACATATTGCAAGATTCCACAGAAATGAAGTATCCAGGGGAAAAGAACCTGTATGTATAGAAAATTGGGAGTTTCCAGGAATATGGTACATAATGGGGGGAGACATTGCCTAAAGGGTATGTGGTTTTCTTTGGGGTGACAAGAAGTATGGGAGCTAGCTAGAGGCAGTGATTGCATAATATCATGAATGTACTAAATCCTGGGTTCCTGTCTTAGACATGGTCGATTTTATATTATGTAAATTTCTCCTCAATAAAGTTAAGAAAACTAAAACATCCATATCCTGTTTGTTTAATGCAACTATAGTACTAATGAGTAGAAATTAAGGATCAGTTATGTGTTCATTTGGCCTTTCTGGGAGCCAATTCATAGAAGGCAAACTCAAATGAATGACATCATCTATAATGTATTCTATAGGTTCAGAAAAATTTAGTATAGAAAGAACGCTATACTAATTAAAAACAATTTCTATTTAGTGTACAAATTATATTTAGTTGCAACAATTTTATACATACTTAGCAATATACTTTGTTCTTTTTTATTCTCCCTTATAGTTCTCTGTCATTGATTTAGTTCATTCTTGATGGCTTCCTTCCCTCCCAAATAATCCTTGCTTCTGCTTTGATAACACACACACACACACACACACACACACAAGTGCATTAACATTATTCTCCAACCCTAGCGGAACTGTGATACTATAAGATTTTAATATAAAATCACTTCAAGATTTTGAGCTTTGAATTGGAATACAATTAAAAATATAGAGGCAATTGGGTTTATCAAAAGCAGAATATCAAATGTGTGCTAAGTTTTAAATTAGAGGACACAAGTCCATGTGATGAACTCATGGAGTATCTAATTTAGACTCCCTCGTATATTTTATTTGCATCTTCCTATGTTGCTTGACACATGACTGTAGAAACAGATTGGCAATTAGAATCGTATAAACTTGATATTTTCAAAATTGTGGTTTTGGGATGAAATAATAAGACACATTATGTGAACTTGTGTTCATTAGAATGATTGTATTCTTATTTGATGATTTTACAATTAAATTTTGTAAACTTGAGATTATAAGAATATCAATGAGTGCATTTTATAGATGTTTTTATATTTTTATCTTTAATGACTTTCTGCTGAAAAAAAATTGAAAAGGCCCTAACTTAATTAAACCTCTCATTTCATAGATTTGGAGTTTGATTGGAAGCGAAAACAAGTTTGTCACATTTCAGACCATTACTTGAGGTCCAAGTGAAACACTATGTCTGAATTGTGTTAACACAATGAACTTCTATCACCATAGCAAGTGATGTCCCTCAGGACTCTTACATGGAGCAACGGTTGGATCTGGAAATGACACAGCTGTTCATTGTATGAAATAATCGATTTGCTTTTGAGTTTCTAGCTTATATTTTCCTGAATGTTCTCTTCATTTTAGTTGGTCAGTAGATGCAGGAAGGTTTGGCTTTTGTCCATGACACAGGAACTTTCTTCATGATCCCATTGAGCAAGCTTTAGAGATGCAGGTGCAGGAGGCTGATGGATGTCCACAGCACAGACTGTTTTTACACTATTAAGAATGTCTTCCACAGTATGGGGTGTTGGTTGAGAATTCATCTGAGAATCACTTCTTCACACCTCTTTGTATTACATCTCCAAGGCTTTCTCCTATGGATTCCTATTACCCTCTGGAAACCATTAGCTATTACCCATGAATCTGCACATATCTTCATCTTAAACAACTTTTTCTTCAGATAAAGTAGATGTAACATGTCTGTCTACTGTTATAGTTCCACTGATTTCTTAGGGAAACACCCCACTGGGTTGAGGTATAAGTCCACAGCGATCTATTTTTGGGGTGTTATTAGCTTTAGGTGAGAGCCATGGGTAAGTCAGGCTTAGATTTCTTTTCCCCCCACTGGTGTGAAGCAGTTTTCTAAGAGCACTTGGATTGTCTGAAGGAATAATGGTCTAGAAGGACAGGCCTCTGATGTTTTAGGGATCTGTTCATATCACTTCCTTGTGTCTTTGGACTTTGATTGGATAATACTATTCACAGGATATTTACATTTGACAGAGGAGTTCCACTGGGTCCCTTTTTGAATTCCAAGCAAAGGTGGGATGCTACTTAAAGGATGGACCATCTGTCAATGGAACCCACCAACTGAGAACCAAGTTGTGGTAATAATAGTGTAATAGTATTCAGCACATGTACCACATTGAGGTACACTTCAAATTCCAAATATAGCACTGAGAGTATTTTAAACTTTGGCATATTTACTTTATCATTTTTAGAATCCTAAAAATTTGGAGATCAAAATAGAAGCAATTATTTCTTATGACTCAACATGTCTTTTCTTTTTGTGGCTAGGTCTGTGAGGGTTAGGTATGCCCAGGCTTCATTCTCTGTCCAGTATTATTTTACCTTAGTGGCATTCAGACCTCAACAGATTGCCTCCCAATCATTGAATAACATTAGGTCTGTGTAATGATATTGGTAGGGTTTAAGTACCACAAGTTAACATTAGAGAAAGAGTGCAAACTTTTTCCTTGACTTCCATCTGCTCTTGTTTTCTTCTCTCATCCCTTTGAATTGTTGGTTATTAGAAGTCCCATAGAAAAGTTGTTTTTTCCCAGGAGAATATTTACCAGGTCACTAGTGAGTCTGATTTACCTTTTCCATTATAACACATCTACTACCTAGTAGAAGTTTGATAAGTTTTCTGGTAAGTAAGGATTATCTCTGTGTATTCCAATAATTATCTATACTATCCTGTCTTGCTATTATAGTGAAATTTTCTGATGTGTAAACAGTGCCTATATCAGCAATATCTTGTTTACATCAACACCATTCTGCCTAGTGCATACAGATTTTTGCTAACATGTTTGATATGATTAAAAGAAAATGAGGGTTGGTGAGATGGCTCAGTGAATAAGGGCACATGCCACCAAGCCTGATGATTTGAGTTTGATATTCATGGGTTGTCCTCTGTGCTTCATTCACATACTATGTCATGTATGTTTCACTTCCCCCCTAATAAATGTAAAAGCAAATATGGAATTCTATTGTTGCTTTATATTTACTTACCAAATTTATATGACTCATTTTATGTAATATTTATAGCCATCTATCAGAAGCTAATTTGCACTTATTCTTTTTTTAGAAAAATGGATTCTACATCTTTATTACCAACATTTTTAGATGTGGATCTGACAGTTTTACATATCGAGTGTCTTCCCAAGGATGTTCTTGTGAAATTTCAAGGCAAAAATAATAATGAGTGTCAGTTTGACTATCACATATTGCAGAGGGAAATACAGTATATTCCCAAAGTGAAGAATACTGTGGGTGTCGATGAGTTTTGTCTGGTGGAGGAAAAAGTGACTGGAGAATGGCAGAGAGGAAGGGTTGTGGAGAAGACAAATGAACTCTACACAGTGTTGCTCATTGATCGGGGGGAAAAGCTGAGAGTGGATGGTACTCGGGTAGCCTCTGCTTGTGAAAAGTTGTTTGAACTCCCTCCCAGAGTTGTATTTGGAATTTTTGCCAACATACTCCCAGTTGGAGAGAAATGGTCACCCAAGGCTTTGCATTATTTCAAGTCACTGGTAGGAATACAGCTGAAAGTCAACATGCAAACAGTTTTGCCTCTTCAAATGATTCTTCTTGAGTCACCCAAAGTGATATCTGAGGTTCTTGAATTACAATTAGGAAGATTTATTGACAGGGATACTTTTCGTCTCATTGTGGAAATATTAAAGGAACTCCCCCAGCCAATGCCAGACTTACTACAACATAAAAAACTGGAGTCATCGTTAAGTAGTAAGAGTACTTCACTTGATGTTCAATATATCCTAGATAATTTCCAGCCATCTTTATCAGTGGGAAGTCTGGACAGCGTCAAAGTGTCGTCTGCACTGAGCCCTAGCAAATTTTATTGTCAACTACTTAAGCAGATTCCAGAGCTGGAAGACTTGACCGAGTGTATGAATTTGCATTACAACACAGTAGGACAAGAAACCAGCCCCACTTGTGATAATTTTGGACTCCTGTGTGTTGCTAAAGGGACAAATGGACGGTGGCAAAGAGGAATTCTCCAGCAGCTCTTGCCTGATAATCAAGTGAAAATTTGGTTCATGGATTATGGAAGCAGTGAGTCTATACCCTCGATTCACGTGAAGAAACTGAAACAGGATTTTATTTTTGCACCACTGTTTTCATTTCCATGTTCTCTGACATACTTACATTGTCCAGACCCAGGAGTAAGAAGACAACAACTGACTATATTTAAGCAAGCCCTGTTAGGACACATAGTGTATGCCCACATAGACTGGTTCAGTGAGGATGAACGTCTTTATTATGTGACTTTATACTCTCAAGAATCTGTAATTAATTCCAAGTGTCTTCCGAGGACTTTAGAAACACAAATACTTTGTCCTGCATTTGAGTCAAACATTTCCAATGCCTTGAGTGAGACAGGCGCTTCTGATACAGGCAGCCTTACAACTGATGGTTTTATTGGAAATTTTGAACAGTCAGTGGGTAGACTAAATGAAAAAGATGACCTAAAAGCAGGTTTTCCTATTAAAAGTGTACAAATGGAGATAGAATCTACCCACATTGCCTTTGTAGTGAATGTATTGAACCCATCAAATTTCTGGGTACGCATTAGTAAGCATCAGAACAAATTTGAAGACATAATGAAAACTATAAATACATTTTACAATGCATCTGAAAATGATGAACTAACTCTGAGAAATCCTGAACCTGGACTGCTCTGTTGTGCCAGATGTAGCAAGGACAGATGTTTCTACCGAGCCGTCATCACTGAAATGAATGATTATTGGATTAATGTTTACCTTCTGGATTATGGAAGTACTGACTCCATTCCATTTTTTGATGCAAAAGTTTTGCTTCCAGAACTTTGTGATTTGCCTCCCTTAGCCATGCACTGTTCACTTGCACATATATCCCCCGTCACAGATTTATGGGTACAGGCAGCAACAGATTATTTTAAAAAGATCGTTCTGAACAAAGCAATTTTGCTTCAAGTTAGAGCAAAAAAAGGTGACAAGTACATGGTGAATATTCAGAATATTGAAGCTCTTGAAAATATGGATGTTGTCTCTCTGATGCTACAAGCTGGATATGCAGAATCTGCAGAGGCAGCATCAGATTTCCCCAGATCTGCGGGAGACTGTTCAGTGTTACAGTTAAAATATGAAGATACACTTCATAATAAAAGTGTTCTGACCTCTGCCCCTGTCAAAAGACCTAAGCCTGAAAAGTCTCATTCCAATACACTGAAAGAAAACCTCTCATCATTACACAGGGTCATGGATCTGAAAATTTCTTTCAACTTGTGTCTTGAATCAAGCTCATCACATCCTTATAAGGAATATGTATTCAAGCCAGGAAAACTTCTCGAAGTCAACTGTTCTTATTGCCATGGTCCAGGTGACTTCTCATGCCAGCTTCTGTGTAAGTTAGGAGATTTGAAATTACTGATGGAACAAATTCAAGATTATTACAGCCTCCATCCAGAACCATATCAGACTGGGAAGGTAGCTTGTGTGGCTAAGCATTCCAGAGATGGGAAGTGGTACAGGGCTGCCATCTTGACTCAAGCATCAGAACAAGAAGTGGAACTAGTATTTGTTGACTATGGCAATCAAGAGCGAGTTTTCATTAAAGATCTCTATGCCATCAACCCGCATTTTCTTGCTTTAGAAGCCCAAGCTTTCAGATGCTGTCTCAACTATTTAGTTGAGCCCATTACTTGTAAGCTATTAGACTGGACAGCAGAAGCCTCCAGAGACTTTGGAAATTTCATTTCTTCACATGGAGGGTTACTAACTTGTATTGTGTATGCCTTAGTTCTTATACACCCTAAATGTTTGTGTAATTTAGTGGATTTACAGTCATCACGTACCAGCGCAAATGAATTTCTCCTTCGTCGTGCCTCCATCCACTACAATGTATTATCAAGGCCACTCCCATTTTCAGTTAGTCTTTACAGTTACTATTACTCTTCCTTTGATATAAAGATTGGAAGTGAAGAAGATGTGTATATATCTCATGTGTATAGTCCCAAAAAGTTCTATTGTCAGCTTTGTAGAAACAATAAAGATTTAGAGATGTTGGAGACAAGAATCACAGAGATGATTAGCCTCAAAATGTGTGCAAAGTATGATTGGAACAGAATGAGACTATGCGTCTCTAAATACATAGAGGATGGGCTCTCATACAGAGCTTTGGTGAAACCAACAGAGTCATCATCTGACCCTCGTGTTTATTTTGTGGACTATGGGAATGAGCAATTTGTAGAAGAAAATATGCTGTGTGCCATTTCTGATCAGTTTCCAGAACTGCTTTTTACACCTATGCAAGCAATTCAGTGTTTTCTGTCAGATCTTAGAGATACAGATATTCCAGGAGAAATCAATAAGTGGTTTGAAGATAGTTTCTTAGGGAGGCCCTTAAAAGCAGTGATACTGTCCAGGGAATCAGATGGGCAGCTTGGTATAGACTTATATGATGGGTATCAACATATAAATCAGACAATAAAATTACTACTTGGTATTTATGGAGAAAAACACTCTGAGCAAGCATGGTGTATGGGAAAGAATCCCAGGTTAAATCAGGCACTCACCACACCTTTGAAAGAAAACCCAGACAGCAACCATTGCAGCAAAGCAATAAATAAAACCAGGCTAGTGAAATATTCTGCAAAGAAAACAGATCAATTGATGCACCACCAAAGTATATATGTCAGGAGTTTGAAACCATCCATCTGTTATGGAGCTGAACCCATGTCAAAAAGCAAAGTGAAGGGGCCCTTTCAGTATGGACTTAAACATAAAAATGGAAAACTCACTCCTGGGTCCGCACACATTCCTGAAGAAAGTGGCATGGGCTCCAAATCACGAGAGACGGTATCAAAGTTAGTTACCAAAGACTTAAAACAGGCATCTTTCCAAACCCGGTGCACCCTTCGTAGACCTCTGGTCATGAAGGTTCCTCAACTCCACATGGGCTTGAGTAGCCAGGTTAAAGGGTCTGCATCCACTAACCACCGTCTAGACAATTTTCACATTCCACTTATTGGGAATGGAAATAAACCCAAAGGACTCACGGATGTTCTAAATGAGAGAACAAATGGCCAGAAAAAGCAGAACTCCCTGAGCCTTCTGGTGAGAGATCATGTAGAATACCCTAAGAACCGTGCCGTGTCCAGAGACACTACTAAGAAAGTGTTGCCTGAAGGGCCTTTTGAAGTGGAAGTTTTTGATCATGGTAATACTGCCATAGTAAATGGCTCTAAAGTTTATTCAATTAGCAGGGAACTCTTAACTGTGCCCCAGCTGGGAGTTTATTATTTTCTTCATAGGATAAAATGGAGTGGGCCCATCGAAATGTATAAAAGCAAAATTGCAGATTATTTTTCCCCAGGAGTAATCAACAGAATAATTTCTTGTGAATTTTTGAAGACGCATGATGAGAAGTGGGAAGTCAATATAACTTGTGGCGATAAATGTGTCATCAAGAAATTGCTGAGCTGGTCATCATGTACTAAACTACAGGAGGGGACATTGCAGACACCTTGGGTCATCTCTCACAAAGTTAGTGTCTGTGAAAACAACCACTCAAAGGCAGGAAGAGTAAATTCACATGAGGGTCTGGTGATCTTCAAACCACTCTCCCAACAGCTAGTTGAAATTCCTTCTGAACTGGTAAGGCATGGACAGCTTGAAAAAGCCAAAATGATTTACATTTCAGACACTGAAGGATTTCATGTGAAGTTACCAAAAAATCAGAAAACACCAAATTTAGCACGATTAATTCCTAAAGAAGATTATTCCTCTGTTTTATCAATGGATATTATTAAAAGGCAGTTAGAATTCTTGTCAGTATCTAGAAGAAATTTAAATTGGTACCAACCCCAAACAGAAGAGCCTTGGGTGGAAGAGAAAGTCCTTGGCTTTTTAGTAAATCGTGGACAGCATGAAGTAGTGCCTATAGGTAATACCGAGGTATTTAGTAAACTGATGAGAAATATTCCAAGACAAAGTATGCCTCATAAACAGATTTGGTTTACAGATTCCAAGAAGACGACCCTTGAGTTCATTGTGTGTTTATTTCCTCATTTGCAAATGAGCGTCATTTCTCTGAAATATTTAGATTACGCTTGGGTAGTGGAAATGTTGGTCAATAGTGTCTTGCTTTGGGGGTATTTAAATGTATCTACATCTCTGGTGGAAGAAAACAAACTGCCATCTTCAGGTACTGTTCTCAGTCTGGAGCCCCAGACTCTTCTGTCACCATGTGTAATCTGGCCATTTGTTTGGGCACCACTCCAAAATGATAGGCGGTATTGTGGCATCGCCACTGCTGTTGGTGACCCCTCAGACTTCTGTGTGCAGTTAGAGGATTTCTTTGATACAATGAAGTACCTCTTTACCTTGCTTTCTGACATACCAGAGCCCTTGCAAGTCTTGCCCCCAGAGCGCATGATTCCTGGTTTCAGTTGCGTATTCAAAAATGAGTTGGAAGGTCAGTGGAACAGAGCAGAAATTTCTGAAGTTTCAGATCAATCTTTACATCTTGTTTTGATTGACTATGAACTTTCTGTTCATAAATCTCACTCAGAAGCCACGAATCTTAAATCTGTACCTGAGAAAATTATGAGTTTGCCAAGGCTGAGCTATCCATGCAGCCTGTATGGTGTCTTACCTGCTTCAGGGAAGTTGTGGAATAGTGAAGCCAGGCTGGTTTTTCAAGATTTCCTATGCAAATCAGGCTTAGTTTTTCAGTTTAGGGAGTATGGTCCTGCAGCAGTATCGGAAGTGGATGTCATGTACAAGAGCAACAGTGTAGCAGATATGTTAGTGGTGTCTGGTCTTGCCGTGCATCACAAGGATTCCGCTGGTCCGGATGGAATTACTGCTACTGGATCTAAACTACAGAGCCAGCCCATCTACCCACTGTTGGACAAACGCTGGCACAAAAAAGAAAGTTTTAATTATAGAAAGGTAAAACAAAAGCTACAGAAGAAACCTTCAAAGAGGAGAAATGTTTCTAGGCGCCTCCTAAAGAAAAGACATGTTAGTGAAAAACTACATTCTGGAAATTTAAAACTGAGAAGAAAAGTCATTATTGGGAAACTTAACTTCCCAAGTACTATTCTGTTTGAGATATGCATAGCAGCTTTGTCTGGGGGCCTACCTGATCGTTTGGGAAACAACACAGGCTGTTTTAAAAACATTTTATCAACTGCTGGAGTCCAGGAAAAGAGTCACACAGTGGACTCAAATGCAGTCAGTGTTAATGAAAAAATTACAGCAGAACACTTGAAAAGTAAGTCGATATTTTCAAAGAAATTTCTAGTTTTAGTTCTTTATTTTTAGTGGACTATTTGTTCAGAATGGAAATAACATATTACAGAAAAAAATTCTTACCAGAGAATCCGGATAAGCTAGTCACGGTGTGTTGTGGCTGCAATCCCTGAACTTAATAGGCAGAGGTAAAAGGGTCACCTAAGGCTAACCCAGCTGCATTGTGAGTTCCAGGCCAGCTAGAGCTGCATAGAAAAGCCCTGTACAAACAAACAAACAAAAAAACAAGCAAACAGGCAAACATGGTAACTTAGGCTATAAAATGGGTTTTCAGCTTTACCATTTCTGAATGATGAATTTATTAGCTTTTCATAAAAGTAGCGATTTTAACTACCACAGGCATGTATACATGCATGACATTTTACAATGCTATCAAGAGTTTCATAAACACCCAGAGGTTGTCGGAGTTCAGACTGACAAGTCTTCCTATGTTCACCTTTGAAGAATCCATTTTTTAACATGCACATTACTTTGTAACAGATAAATTACATATCTAGGTACTTTTGAGTGTATGTCTAGCATATTGCTAAGTCAGTTAAAATTTATTAAACAAGCTTACTGAAGTGTGTTTTCTCTTAAGCCATTTAGTTGTAAAATAAACCCTGAAGTATTATTAAGATTTCACTATTTTATGTACTATTGTCTGATTTTTCTCATTTGTATTATATTAATTTTTCTCTATGTATAATTTACTGTGGGTTTTATAGGTGATGATGTCTATTTCTGAGGACTGTTTGTTCAGACTTCAAAATAATGCCTATCTTATATCCCAAATTATAGCTCACATTGTCACAGATTACACTCTTTCAGTGAGTGGGGCTATCTTATTTTTGCTGATGCACTGTTGTAACCTATTTTATTCGAATTCACATTTAGAATTGTCACGGCTGTAAAACTGGATTCTTTTAACTTTTAAATCTTGTGCTGTAATAGCAAGTGTATGTCATTGTGGGGGCAGTGGGAGGGTTGCTCCTTTCCAGGTACTGTGGTAAGAGTTGTATCTCTTCTCTCACTGAATATCTACAGCAACACCATGGTAGAAGATGGTATTGAAGTTCAGCTGGGTATCTAAACTGTACCTGCTTGAATTTCAAGTCGCTTTATTCATTTCTGTTGCTGTTTTGAAGCAAGGCTGGGGCGAATAGAAAGGGATTAAAATAGATTTAAACCTGAATGTTGAGAGAGGAATGGAGTACTGGAATAGGGGTGCTTAAGGGAAAGCATAGTTGGAGCAGGGTGTGGTGGCACATACCTGTAGTCACAGCACTTAGAAGGCAGAGGCAGGGAGCTAGCTGCAAGTTTGAGGCCATCTTGGTCCACATGGTGAATTCCTGGCCACCCAGAGGAATATAATGAGGGCATATCTCAAAAAACAAAATAAGCAGAGCAGGACAAAATATAGCATAACATATACACCCAGGTTGGGCATGGGTTTCTCAAGACACAATAGTATTTAACTATCATTGCTTATGATTCTGGTAGCTTCTGAGGATACACGGCTATGCTGGCTAGTTTTATGTCAACTTGACACAAGCTAAAGTCATAAGAGGGAACCTCAATTGAGAAAATGACTCCCTAAGCTCGGGGGGGGGGTATAGGCAAGGACAGCCTGTAGGGCATTTTCTTAATTGGTGAATGAATTGGGAGGGCCCAGCCTGTTGTGGGTGGTGCCACCTCTGGGATGGTGGTCCTGGGATCTATAAGAAAGCAGGTGAGCAAGCTATGATGAGCAAGCCAATAAGTGGTACTTCTTCATGGCCTCTGCATCAGCTCCCGCCTCCAGGTTCCTGCCCCGTTTCAGTTTCTGACTGCTTCTTGATAATAATTTAAGCACTTAGATACATACCAGGAGGCACAGGCCTGTAATCTCAGATATTTGGGAAGCTGAGGCAGGAGGATAACATGTTCAATATCAACGTGGCAACTTACTGAGACCTTGTCTCATATGAAAAGAGACCAAGTTAGTCTAGTGTAGTCCCAGCACTTAGGAGGTAGATGCAGGAGGATCAGGAGTTCAGAGTCATTCTTAGCTGTATTGTGAGTTTGACACCATTGTGGACTACTTGAGATCTTATCTCAAGCAAGCCAGCCAGCAAGCAAACAAAAAGTAGGCATGAGGAGGATCAGGGGAGCGTGTTCAGTGACCGAGCACATATGAGGTCCAGCACACAGGGGTCCTACGATGAGTCCTTAGTGCTGCAAAGGAAAAGAAGACATGCAGTTAAACTTCAGGAAGACACTTAAGTAAGTTTTCTGTCTGATGACTTCATGCATGTATCTTCCTGCCACCATGTCAAATCCCTTCCCCCAGTCCCTTTCCCACCTTCATGAAATGGCTTGTTTCCTGACCCATTAAGTTTACTCAGGGTCATCTATTTGCTACTGAGAGATTCAGGAAGACTTTTAAAAAATACTCTTGGTTTCAAGACCACTCGTGTTGCTTTGCATAGGGCATATTCCATTGACCTTCCAGCTGCATGCATTTTTAACCTTCTTTGTTTTTTCCCCATAAGAGTTTTTCAAAAAACTGGCTGTTCAACTCCCTCCTCATCTCCTAGTGCTCGTAGCATAGAGTGTGTCACTAGATGAACCAAACATTAAACTATTCCCCCCAAACGAAACCCAAATATTGAAGGCCATTCAAGGAAAAATCATATGGGTAAGACAAATATAAGAAAACAAATTTTGTGCCCTACAAATAAATTTATCTACTTGATGTGGTTATAGTTTTCAAATGAAATAAAAAAACAACAGCTTAGCACAGCTTTGATTTTGCTACTGAATTCCTGCAATAAGGGGGTCACCTCTTAATTATGCTGCTACCCCCTGTCTTGGCCTAGGATAGAATGACTTTCAGTATCTCCCTTGATTGAAAGTCTCAGTCTTTCAATTTTTGATTATTAAATAATCCAGGGACTTGAGAGATGGCTCAACCAATAAGAGCACTTGGTTCTCTTCTAGAGGATCAGAGTTTGGATCCCTGCTCACAGCTGCCTGTAACTACACCTCCAGGGAATCTGGCACCCTCTTCTGGTCTCTGTGAGTACCTGCATATATGTGTACCCCCACAGACATACACATCCATTAAAAGAAATCATTTAAAAACATGTACAGAGTTTTACTATTACTTACTATCATGGACACCTTCATGATAAAGATTCTTTTTTGAAGATGGAATTGTGATAATGAGCCATCTCTAGTTCTAACTATATAGAATATAGTAAAAAGAGCAGAATGTATACATTTTCCTAACACGGAAATCTATTACATGATCATGGTAAGATGTTTTTAGTTGGTGCATGTAATGAAGCTGTGTAACTTGTCTATTTTTTTCTTTTTTTCATTTTGTGACTTTTAAGCACATCTTTTTTTTAATTTTTCACTCTGAGAAATTGATCCAGGGGCTTTGCCCACGCAGGGCAGAACTCTGCCACTGAGGTACATAACCTCTTTTTGTTGTTTTGTTTGTTTTGAGGCACCATCTCAAGGGAACCACAGTGGCCTCAGACTCGTCCTGTGGTCCAAGCAGTCGCTGAAGTTGCCATTTTCCTCTCTCAGCTCCCGAGCACCTTGTTGCCAGCTACTTTAAGAGTTTTTTAAGTACAGACATTCTGTTTGTGGTAGCACACATAAATCTTGAGTAATCCTCAGTAAGATCCTTCATATTTTGAAGATTATAACACATAGCTCTGTTTTGTTTTTCAGTAGAAGGAGATGGAACCTCAGATCACTTATGCATCAGTTTGGCAATGAATGGTACATAGGGCTGCATGTACCTATTGTCTTGCTTTAGCTGTTCCAGAGCCAAACAAATCTGGTGAGTACAAGGTGGATGAATGTTGAAGGATGGCCTTGTTGTGTTATTTCTTCTGCACAGGGAAACTTCTCACGTAGATGTATGTTAAAGTATGCCTTTGCTGTGTTAGTTTTTTCTGCAGGACATACAGGAATAGCAGCTCACATCTGTTAAATAAGTTATCACTCCTTTCTCCCAGGGTTTCAGGTTTATTTTTGAGAGAGACTTTCAGATTTTGCTGTGCATCAGAAGGCAAATATATGTAGCTAAGCAGATCTCTGGGTCTTATTGCCTGAGTCCCTGGAGTAGACACCCTGGAGTAGGCCTAAGTGTTTGTCATCAGTGCCTAGGAGATGCTGATGGTGTGAGTCTGGGGAGCTACATCCTGAGCACCTTTCTTCATGAGAGAGGGCATCGTGGGCATCCTGACTTTACTGTGGGACAACATCTGTTCACACCTTGCACGACCATCTGATCAAGTTTGCAGAAGTCTCCTGTCCACTTGAAGTAACTTGATGGGTGGCAGTTCCTCAGGGTAGGATAAAGTGTTTACATCAACCTATAACCTGAGAACATGTGTTTAGGAAAGATGACGGGTGTGACACAGTGGCAGAAGAAATCCAATCACACATGAGGGGCTTTGCCTTCAGTCATCTAGGACCTACTTTGTTCTTAGATTATACACTACCAAAAATAGGTGAACTCCATTCCTTGGAGTTGGAGATGCCACATCATTGTCTAATGAAGTGTCTTGTTTTCTGTGAACCTAGGTCTCATTTTACTGATGTAAAATGTTTTTCTCAGTGTTGAGTCTCTTTGTACTAGTGGTTCTATTCTGTGTTTTCATGTTCCAGATTTTCCTCTGATATCTCTTTAGACAATCACATTTACTAGTGAAAGGACGTAAAAGGTGACTGGAAGTCCTTCATTTAGGAACTTCTGAATAAAGACCTCGAAAAGTCAGAGCATTTAGCTTTGGTGAATCTTCTTTGATTAGTCAGCTTCCCAAAATAAAGCTCTTATTCCTGGCTAGGATGATACAGGCTGGTCAGCCACACAGTCTGGGAGCTGAGTTGGGGAGTGGACTGAAAGTCATTATTTCAAACACAGAATTTTAGTTGGCTTTAAGTCCCTCATGCCACCCTGTTCTTGTCACACTTCTAGTGTCATCACCTGACTTCAGTCTCATTCCCTTTATAATCTTAAGTATTAGTGGGGACCAAAAGAAGCTTTTATTTGTGTGTGTCATATCCATGTTTACTATGGTAGAGAAGAAAATCCAACACTTCAAATATTTGTTAACTTGCATAGTAAAAGACATAAATGATAATCTAATTATAACAGGATTAACATTAATGTCTAAATATGTAAAAATCGGGCTGGAGAGATGGCTGGGTGATGAAGAGGGTGTATTGCTCTTTCAGAGATCCTGAGATCAATTCCCAGCATCCACATCAGCGGCTCACAAACCTTTAACTCCAGCTCCATGACCCCTGTAGACAAAATGTGCCCAGTGCACACACTTGTATCCACACTGCCTACATATACACAAATAAAAGTAAGAAAAATAAATTAAAATATCTAAAAAATAGTGACAAAGTGGCATTGTAAAATTTTGAAAGTCTCTTTCAGGTCTGGATTTAGATTGTAGCTTGGCTCCCATGCCTCCTTACATGTTCAGTCTGTTTGTATATCACACACCACATGGTTCCTGAACATGTCACAATGCTGAAGAAAATAAGAATGAAAGATGCAGGTGACATCTTACTATTATTATGAAAGCAGTCTTGTCTCACAGACATACCAGATGGTATTCAGTGACTCGATGGCTCTTAAAGATGCACTATGAAGAATACATGTGTCTTCTCCTGAGTGGTGGGTATGGTTACTTGCCTTCAGTGTTGGTAGAAGGCTTGTGAGCTGATTCACACAAGGGTTCATATAAGACTTGTGAGCTGGCTCACACCTCTTTCTTGTTCACCAAGAACTTGATGATTGTTGAGTCCTCTAAGTCTAATGTTGAGCATTCTATGTCTTAGCTGTTCTGAGATTCACCCACTGTGGGTAACACATTCCACGTGGAGAGGGCAGGTGTTAGACACTGCTATATATCCTGCTTACAACTATTTCGGTCTCCCTAGATGAGACTCAGACATTGTGGAACTAAGAAAAGCCCACACTGCTGTGTCCTGTCTGAATGTCTGCTTTACAGAAGGTGTGAGCATAACCTGACTGTTATTTTTACCCATTATGTTTTGGAAGAAGATCTTAGGTAGAAATGATAACTGATTTGGGTACCAGAATTGGGATGTTGCCTTGAGTTTTCCCTGAACATTGGGCAGGAATGGAAAAGACCTTGGAGAGGAGAGACTGAACCAGTCTCAAGGAGGCTGATAGACAGGGCTCTAAGAGTGTAGAGAGTGGGATAGGGAATCTTCATCATATGCTGTGAAATAAATTGCTGTCATCATAAAATGGAAAATTGAGAATACACAAATGAATTAAGCAGCAAGAGTAAAGAGATTTCTGAGTGGTGAATTGTAAGTATTTTCTTATGATGAAATACAGAATGAGAAAATGAAGCCTAGTATTTATTTATTTACAAAGCCATAGATGACTATGTGAAATCCATACTTCAAGATGACAAAAAATTTCTGTTTTGAAAATTTACCTTAAGGCCAAAGATTAGCTCCATGTTGTTGATAGAAAAGTCTCCTTAGGTAAAGAAGGAATTTGGGTGTGTTTATAAAACTCTTTCCTAAGACCTTAGAAATCTCTTAGATGGCTTTACACAGTCCTTTTATTGTTGATACTTGTTTGTTTGTGACAACCTGTCTCAGTCTCAGTGTAACTCTGCCCAACGAAAGGGCATGGTCACTTCAAGAGTGAGCCAACAGCAAATAAGGACTTGAGAGCTTTACCTGTGGGAACTTGGAGTGAACTGATACTCCATCCACAGAAAATTCACAAAGCTTTGAAATACATTGTGGCAAATTTTACAGACTTGATTTCAAAATAAAAGCCTCGATGAGTAAATAGGCAGAGAAGACCACTGTTATGGAAATGGGACAGGAAGGATAGTGTGGAAGATGAAACCAAGAGTTTATTAAGTAGAGCCAAGAACCCAGGGGAACAGGTCCCAGGGAGTACACTAAGGTTTAATCCTGGAGTAGCCATGTCTGTCTGTGTTCATTCCCAATGTCTGTTTTTAGAACGTGAGTGTCTGCAAGAGGTTTTTTTTTTGTGCTTGTCCCAGAATGTGTGTTGAATTGTTGCCAGACTAACATACTGTTTTGCTTTGTAGGTCCTCAGAAGAAATGTACTTGAACACGAGGAAGCCCAACCTGCACCTGGAACTGACTTATTTTTTCTTGATTATTATTTTTTATTTTTTATTTTTGGTTTTTCAAGACAGGGTTTCTCTGTATTGTTTTGGAGCCTGTCCTGGAACTCACTTGATTGTTTTAGTTCACCAATTTATTTATTTATTTAGTTTTGGGCCGGATCTTATCTAGATAATTCATGCTGGCCTCGAACCTCTATGTGGACTAGGTTGATCACAAAATCTGACCATCAATCTCAATGTTCCTGCCTCTGCCTCCTGAATGCCCGGATTACAAATATGTGCCACCATGCTGGGATAGACTTGAGGCAGTGACACAAGCCAAGACTTTATCCTAATGTCAGACTGAAATGAGACCCCAGACGCCTTTGGGACTGAGTGCAATATGGCCTGTTAAAATGATGTGGATGTTTGCTCGGTAGGCATATTGTGCCAGATTGTATCTTCCAAGGATTTCCGCGGTCTTCCCTATCTTATTTAGCCAATGTGACCTGTCCACTCCCTATCAAAAGGCAGAATGTTGTTTCCTTTCCCTTGGATCTGGGGAGGTTTATCACTGCTTGGACCAATGGTATAGTAGTATGAGTAACACCGTGTGACCTGACAAACTTGGGTCATAAGAGATATTGCTTTTGACTTATTTCTTGGAGAAACCCAACTACCTGATACAGCCAAACTCTGGAAAACCTAAGTCACATGGGTACAAGGACTTTGGTCAACAGTACCAGCCTCAGACAGTTGAGTTGCCTTTGTTGAGGTTTTGAGAATATTGTGATATATGTCAACTCCATTCTGCCCATTTCTAAGATACAGTATTGAACTTCCAGATATGAATCTTTGGGGTAGTTTTTTAACCAAGTGGGTGACTGATAAACCTCCAATGATCATAAGCTCTATTCTCACAGTACTATGAAGAGATCTGGTAATGAATAAAATATATTCAGGGAAACATCTCAGGACATCAGTTTTAGCTGCCTGGTTGTTGTCCTACTTCACTGTTTAGTTTTGAGATAGCAAGTCTGGTGTCTAAGCTCCAGATAGCTGATTTCCCACTGTGTTTGCACTGGTTTATTTGTGGTGTTTCATTTGATTGGCATTGCGTTCTTCTACTCAGTTAAAAAAACAACAAAAACTCCTCAATAAATGTGATTGTTTCAATTTGCCTCCATATTTTACACACAGTGTATGAGATAAATGCATCTTGATTTAATGAAACATGGTTACCTTTTAAAAGACTGTTTCATGTACTAAATAATGTGAAAAAACTATAGTTACCTCAGTAAACAGAGAATTATTACAACTGTTTTGATGCTTTGCCCGTTAATAAAACCTATAGTCTATTTTTATGAAAGTTAATCTGTCTCCTAATATTCCATACATATACATTGAATATCACATGAGCTCCATATGCTTTAAGATAAAGCTTGTGGATAAAAGTACAAACTTCCACATAGTTGATAAGAATGAGTCTTTAATTCTGGGGGGATTTTGCTGACATCTAGTGGTATTTGGATCTACATGTCAAAATTTCATTTAGCTCTCTATTTGTAAACCTGTTTTGCATTTTTGTGTGTATGTGTGGGTGCCCATGGAGGCCAGAAGAGAGGGAATTAGATCCTTTGGAGATGGAGATAAGGCAACTGTAAGTGCTGGGAGCTGAACTCAAGTCCCCAGAAAGAGCAGCAAATGCTCTTAACTGCCAAGCATCTTCATGGCTATATTTCCTTAATTTTATATATTTTTAATTTTAAATTAAAAGACATGGTATGTCTAAAGTGAGGCTCATCATACTTTTGAGTATGTGTATTGTAGATATGTAATTTGATATAAATGAGTAAATATTACCATCTCCCATGGGTTTTATTTTCCTTCATTTGCTTAGGTACCAACTCCTTTTCTTACTTTTTTGAGGTACATTATGACAACATCTTAGATTTGTTCCCTGTACATGTAGCTCATTCTATGAGTTAAGACACTCTATAAATATGTAAGGATAATGTGCACACTTTACTGTGTTATAGAAAAATAATATTTTCTGCATTTTAGTATATCTTCTGGAAGTCCTTCTAAGATAAATAACATATTAGTAGTTATAATATTTAACATTATGCATGTGTTTTAATTTTGTTTTCAGCACTTTTTCTGAGAGACATCTATTGGTTATCTCTTTGCCACACTGAAAACAGCTGAAGAACACATCTATGCAAATATTCCCATATGAAGGGTAATTCATCTCTCCAGAATAACTTCTTGTCAGAGAAATTGCAGGGGAAAAAGAATGTACCCATTTTAATGGATGCTAGCACATTCCCTTCAAGCACAGCTGAACTGTCCATAGGTAGATATGCAATCCCATTTCGTTTGTAACACTAATGTTTTGTTCCAGCTTGATTGAGGGAAGTTAGCAAGCATAGATCTGTAATATGAGCGATGTGATGGATGGATGTATACATCATGAGTTGATTATCCTGCTGAAGTGGATTAACATATTCCCCACTTCCTACATCAGTATTAGATTTTTAAATCACAAACATTTTTGCCTAGATGAGAGGTATAAAATGACTATTTTGAGTTTCCCGATTGCTGGAGAATTTTTAGCAACTTATTCTGTGGGTTTTTATTTTCGACTCTGAATGTATTATTGTTCAGGTTTTCTATGATATTCATCATCCAGTGTACAGATATTTTGTGCAAAGTTCTTAATAAAGGTTCAGATGGTCCTGTAATTAATCGTGCCAATTTTAAATATTGTGACCCTTGATTTTCATGTGTAATCTCTTGTGGGGGAGTTACATGGAGTGCAGTCTTCCAAGCTCCCGTCTTTGTTTCACATCAAAATCTTGATTCAGATGGAGGGTTTTTTTCAATGAACTTAAAAAACTAAAGTATAATGTGCACACCAAAAGTGTATTATTAAATGGTTATCTTAAAAAAGAACCTGCCTGAGTCATCACCAACTGGCTACTCAGAAGGAATCCTGCTGCTTCTGACTACTCTTGCTGCAGTTCCTGATGATTAAAAGCTACTGTGATGTCTATGGTAATTGCCACCCTCCTCAGCTCCTCCTCCTTTTTCTCCTCTCCTTCCTCTTTCCCTCCCATCCTTCCTCTCCTCCCCATCTCCCTTCCCTCCTCCACCTCCTCCTCTCCCTCCTCCTGTTTTGCCTCTTAAACCTTATGGCTAACAAAGTAGTTCAACTCAGTGGTGATAAACTTTGGTTAAGTTAATTTATACAGTATTTATATATTTACAAGGTTTTCTTATATAAATCTGACTGGCTACCTACAAGTCTTGGCTTTACAGGTATGTGCCACTGTACTGGCTAATACGTTTTTTAAACCATTTTTAAAAATATTTATTTATTTTACACCCAGACCACAGTTTCCCTTCCCTCCTATCTTCCCAGTCCCTCCCTACATTCCCCTGCCACCCATCATCCAGAACTCCTCCATTTCTATTCTGAATCCCATGGATATCAACAAAACATGAAATGTCAAGTTGCAGTAAGACTAGGTACCTCCTCTACTATTAAGGTTCAACAAGGCAACCCAGTATGAGGGACAGGGACCCCAAAAACCAGCAAAAGAGTCAGAGACAGCTCCTGCTCCCACTGTTAGGAGTCCCACAAGAGAAGCAAACTACATAACTGTAACATATATGCAGAGTGCCTAGGTCAGTTCCATGCAGGCTTCCTGGTTGTTGGTTTAGTCTCTGTGAACGCCTATGAGCCCAGGTTTGTAGACTCTGTGGGTTTTCTTGTGGTATCATTGACCCCTCTGGCTCCTACAACCCTCCTCCTCCTTTTCAGTAGGATTACCCTAGCTCAGCATAATGTTTGACTGTGGGTTTCTGCATCTGTTTCCACCAGTTGCTAGATGAAACCTCTCTGATGACTACTGGGCTATTCAGCAACCTTTGAGTATAGCAGACTATCATTAGACATCATGACACTGACAGTTTTTCTTTCTCTTATCATGTTTGGTTCTATCCTAGGTCTCTGGCCATCCAGGCTCTAGGTCCTGGTGCTCCAGGCAGTGTCAGGAGTGGACTCACTCTCATGACAGGGGTCTTAGACAGACTGTAGGTTGCAGTTTTGTGGCTGGTGTTAGTCTTGCCTGGTCACAGATGGTGGCTATTTGAGGCTATGCATCCTCTTTTGCTAGGAGTCTTGGATGGAGTCTTCTTTGTTGATTTCTGGGAGATTCCCTTGCATCAGTTAAACCTCATTTTATTGGTATTTAAAAATTTTCCCAAATTTGCTAAGGAAAGGTGGCAAAATTGTAAATCACAAGATGTACTATGTGATATGGATTCTAGTAAGTTCTAGAAATGCTCTGCACAATATGATGACAGTGAAGTCATAATATGTCCTTGAATTTGTTAAGACAGTTTGCCTTCAATATTGTTGTCAGGAAAAAGTAAAAGGTGCTATGTGAGGTAAGGGACATGTTGATTAACTGTCATCATATTGTGCAGAACATTTCTAGAACTTGCTAGTAGTTTAACTATCTAAACCTCTCCTTTCACTGTTGCCAATACTCCTCCATCATTCTTCATTTATAGTTTCTCTTCCTGTTGTGAGCAGTCCATTCCCTTTCCCTGCTACATGGTATTCCATCCAGTGACATGACTCCCAGTGTTACACTGTTGAGGGATGCTTGGGCTCCCAGTCCACAGCCTGATGGAGCTATAGATATTCTTTTTTTTTTTTTTTTTAGTTTTTACGAGACAGGGTTTCTCTGTATTGTTTCGTTTTGGAGGCTATCGGTCCAGCCCGGCCTCGAACTCACAGAGATCTGCCTGCCTCTGCCTCCCGAGTGCTGGGATTAAAGGCATGCGCCACCACCGCCCAGCGCTATAGACATTCATGTGCATTATTCTTCTAGAAGAATATGGACTTGAGAAGCTAATGGTTCATAGGGAATAGACAGGTCAGTCATCACTGATTTTTATTAAGCTCCAGATTTTCTTACGTGGTTTACCCCTTTACACTTCCACTAGTATGGGGACACTAGACCTTGAGCAGAAACCCACTTCCCCTTTGGCCTGGGAGCAGGCAGCTGTGAGATAATGTTTACTGAAAACAATTCAGTGCTATAAAGCTCTTGATAGGGCTCAGATAAGGGCTCACTCACTGAAACACCATGACTTTGACACCCCCTATGGCTAGATGCTTCTTCCTGTTCCCCCTGCTGTTTCTCCCCGATTCTGGGGCCGGAGATTAAACCACCAGCCAGGATGGTGAGAAGTCTGGGAGAGCTGTTGGAGAATTGTATGTAGATGGATGGCAGAAGTCCTTAAAAAGTGAAGCATTTTTTCTTGGGGAATTCTCTCTCCTAAGCCAACTTGAGAAGCATAAAGTTTTCTTAAAGCAATCGACCAGTCTCTGTGTCATCTATCCCGACGACCTCGCTACATTCTCGGATGCAGGCTGCACAGCAGGTGCGACACACTAGTGCCATTGGGTGCTGGGGAATCACATTTTCACCATGATGTTTTTCAACTTAGCTATTTTAATCAATAATATAATATTATCCTGTGGTGGTTGTAATTTTCATCTTTCTGCAACTAAGTCAAATGTTATATGTTTACTGATCTTCATTGTACATCTTTTCTTATTGACTTACTGGAAATTTTCAGATTTGTTATCAGTTTTTCCTAATATTCTCTTATACTCTTCTAAGCAGTTTTGTGATCTGGAGTAATGTTGGATATGGATGCTAGGGAGGAAGAATGTAGAGGACAACCCCCCTTTTCATCTTGTGACATCAGAGGTGCTTATTATTAGTATGACATAACTGTAAACACTTCTTGTTCTCCAGCCTGATGCAGCCTTGGTGACATTTCTCCTTCATCAGAGCTACATATTATGGGTAGAAATCATGCTCCCCCACCCAGGGGATTATTCACAAAAATTAGCAAGCTTCTTTTCACAGAATCTCTCCCTTTTGTCTGCTTAATCCTTCTTTTATGCCAGTATAGATTCACAGAGATTAACCCGATACATACCAGGGCTATGCTATGACTCAAATCATTCTACATTAGGCTGTTGGAAGCTCTTTCATTTTTTACACTTGTCCCTTTGGCACTGCTCCATGATGGAGTGCCTTGGAACACATCTTTTTTTCCTCTGGCTCTAGGTCTGAAATTAGCCACGTGTGGAGGAGCTGGCTCCTCTTATTTGAGAATGACATGAGGCACAAGCCTCCGGGTGCCCAATGGATGAGTGCATTTCTGTTTGTTTCTTCCCTTTGAGTTCCTTTAGCCTTAATATCCTTTTCTTTGCCCAGTTTTTCAGGATGTGTCCATGCTTTATTTTCAGTGTCATTCATTTGACATTTGAAATTTGCAATCTTTAAATCACATGCTGGTTACCTTTTTGTCAACTAGGTACAAGCTTTCGGAAAATAGAGTCTCAAATGAGAAGATGCTCCCATCAGACTGGCCCGTAAACATGTCCTGGGGACATTGTTTGATGAAGAATTGTTGTAGGAGGCGCCAGGCCACTTTGGACAGATGCCATTCCTGGGCAGGTGTGCCTGTGATATGTAACAAAGCAAGCTGAACCAGCCAGACATTCCTCCTTGGCCTTTGCTTCAGTTCCTGCCTTCTGGCTCCTGTCTTGAGACCCTGCCCTCACTGCCCTTCATAATGGAATATAACTGGAACTTGTAATCCAAATAAATCCTTCCTGCATTTCTTTTGGTCCACAGCAATTGAAAGCAAACTAACATGAACAATGATTCATAAAAAACAACCACCACTACCAAAAACCAAAACTAAAGCAACAAGCAGTTGCTTTCCAAGATTTTGAGCATTTCCAATTTTTTTTGCTTCCTCTAAACTAACTCCATTGATATGACAGAATTTCCACGAATAAAGTTAAATTATTTTAAATTTGCTGAAGCTTTCTCAGTGAGCCACACACCATTCATTCATTAATTTCTGTGCATACTTGAAAAGACTATGGTTGGTAGACATATTGTTCCACATGGCCCTTTGAAATACGTTTGTTAACCAGGTATTTTATATCCTTTCTAAGTGTTCATCATTCCAACATTTATAAATTGAGCAATGTATACTTCCTCACTTTGATAGTAGATTTACTCCATTTACCTCTTAGTTATTATATTAGTTATTTTTATCATTACTTCAATCAAACACATGCAAAAACAAGGGCAGTATTTATTACCATGTTCTTATTTTGGATCTATCATTAGGGAAGGTATGATGAAGAAGAGCTGACTGGCACTCAGCTTGCTTCCTTTCTCTAGTTCAGTGTAGGATCCGTGGAATGGCATCACCCATATTTAGTGTGGGTCTGCCTTACTTAATTCACCTTTTCTTGAAATGACCTCCCATGTACACCCAGATGTGTGATTTCACAGGAACTCTCCATTCACTGTAGAAGATCAGCCATCACAGTGGTGAACTTTACAAGTTTAAGGACATACTGTGTTGTAGTTAGTCTTCCATTTGATAGTTGTCGAGAATTCAGCTTTAAATCTCACTGGTTTCCTCTTAAAATAATTAGCCTTTCTCCCTCCCTTATTTGTTGTTAAGACTTCATCTTCCTTTTAAAAATGTGTCTGTAATGTGCCTCTGTTTACAGCTTTGTAATACTTGACTGTGTATTTTTGAAGTCAATTTTAAAGTCTTTAGACATGAAATATTTGAATATTTATTATATCCCTTCCTCATCTCTTCTGTCTGAGGTCGCAGCTACCATCCTGCTAAAGGTTTTGA